TAATTAACAAAATTTGGCAAAATTGACGCATAAAGATGTAATTGATGACCTCAATCAACCCAAATTTAAGATTAATTAAAGAACACTTATGCAAATATGTAACTTCCAGTGGTAATGTTACTTTTTATTATGAGTAATGCTATATTTACTCACGATCTTACTAACCATCTTATTATCATTTGTAAATATAATGTATAGTACGTGTAGTATATGTAATTTTAATAAAGGTAGTAAGGTGGTTAGTAAGCTCGTGCATAAACATAGCATTATTGTTTTATTATTGACGTCAACTTATTGGAATTGTCGTCAAGAAATTGTATATAAAATGTAAAAAAGAAACCTTTCAACCAACTTCACTTCTTTCTAGCCTCATCCCTATCGCCCTTTTTTTTTTTTTAGGGCGTCTGACCTAGCTTTTGTGTACCTCAATTAATCTTCAAAACTCTAAGATTAAGGGCTGGGTCAACCTCGGGGCTAATGTTAACGGTCGGTTAAAACTCAAGTGGCCACCTCTATCAGCAATTAAGGTAAATCAAACTCAAAATCTCTTGGATAATACCTCAAAAGTCACTATTCAACCACTTGGCTATCCAAAGGTGGTTAACAGCCTCTTTTTTGTCTGAGTCTATATGCATATGCTTATTAAATCACTAGTAATTTCATGTATCATTGTGAGGACCATTATAATTGATGTGGAAATCTTACCAACAATGTATAATATCGCTAGCCTCCCACTGTCTAAAATAATACAAAGCATTATTTATTAAAACAACAATGAGATATCCATCCAATTCCACAGTCACAATTGCTGTAACATTTATAGCTTGTATGGAAATTATTGTGCCTTTACCAATCAATTCAATCCTGATATCATCAACAATCATTTTCTGTAATTTGATGAACCAACCAGACCAAAATAATCAAATCCTTATCTTCCTTTCCACATGATGAAACAGAGTTGTGTCTGGTTCAGTTTTTCGATAATTGTATTTACTTTTAAAATAGTTTTCTCTAATTAACAATATGATTGATTATCGCTAAATCTTAATTAGGAAAGACAAATCTATATAACCTTTTTATTATTATATATATATTTATATATATATAATATATATATTATAATAATATATATATATATTATATATATTATATATAAATATATATACACACACACAGTAGAACCTCTCTATAGTCATCATGTGGGACTAACTAAATTTATAATAATGAGGAGGTTATAACTTAATAGAGGTATAGTTACAAGATTAAAAAATTATTATTTTGATTTCTTATTTTAAAATTCATGTTTTAGTAGTGTTAGAATTTCAATTCATTGTTTTAGTAGTATTAGGATAGTATGAAAATGAATATCAAAGAGTTGTCACAAAATTGAGTGATCAATACGACAACTTCACTACACTAATCAAATGGTTATTAATATCTTTATTAATTATCCAAATAAGCAACAAGTCGTGTATGCTTTAACTGAAGAAGAAATTATTACTGGAATTAAACAAGAAGAGGAATGAAACAATTCTGAGGATGAATGTAGTACGGAAATACCAAAAGTTTTGTGCCAAGAAACACCAAACATGCAGTTAGAAATATTTTGAATTCAATAAGAAGGTGTCCATGTTGGCAACTTATTATATACTCGCAAAATAAAAGACATGATAACAACTCTAAAATATAAATAAATCATTGTCTTAAACAACTTTAGATAAATATGTTATTTCATCTTAAACATTTAATATAACATAACATACATTTTTTTTATAATATATATACAATTATTACTATATAGAGACAAGTTCCTTAAGACATTACCTAGAAAAACTATAATTTATTATAATATGAAATTTATTCTCATTTATAACTAATTCAAGTTGAGATCAAATTTTGTTATGACTACATAAAAATTATTCTTATATAAAGTAATAAAGTATTACTATAGAGAGGTTCAACCGTATATATATCTCTTTAATTTAATACACATCACTAAAGTAATACTAAAGGGGAAAAAGTTTTAGAAAGTGGAGGATATCATTCATCAATTACTACTTAACTATATACAATAAATTTGATATATGGATGATGTCATATAAAGGAGGATTAATATGACACTCTACCTAACCAACAACACTCTTTTCAACAAAAACTACCCAAATGCCACCAAACAACGTAACTATAGTGAAACCACCTAGCTTCTCATGCATGCAGTGGATCGATCAGGTTTTGGCGGTGGGTCAACAAAAGTAACCATAGGCTTGTCTTGTTTTGGCGGCTCTGCTTTCGCTGGTGCTGGTGGTGGCTGGGGCGTGGTCGGGGGTGCTGCTGGTCGCTCAGGTATGGTTGGTGCCGGTAGTGGATCGATTGGTTTCTGTGTGGGCCTTTCTGGTTCTTTTGGTTTTTCTGGCTCTTTCGGCTTTGGAGGTTATTTAGGCTTTTCCGGTTCTTTAGGCTTGGGTGGAGGTAAAATTTGAATACTCTTGATGGAATCACCACCTTTGCAGCAAGTCTTCTGCTTGATCTTCTCAGGACTACAACACACCACTTTGATCCTTACTGTGTTCTGCTTCTCGTCATACACCTCCTCTTGTATTTCTGATCATGTTCACAAATATTAAACATTCCTTCTACATTAAACACTTACTTCAAATTCATTAACAAAGAGAATTGACGAACAGAATTAAAGACACTCTCGAGGGAATTTACACAGCACTTTCTTCACTTTCCTGTAGCACTTCTCACTTCAGCACCATTATCGCAACTTTCTGCAACAGTAAACAATAAAGATATATATTAACCAACAAATAAATGAGATGGGCATGGCTAAATTATAAGAAAGATAAGATTTTGCAAACATTCTCCCCCATGGCTGGCTGGTGGGGTTGCCCAGATCTGAGTCTGAACCTCGTTCTCCGAATATTATTTAGTTGAGTTTGATTAGTTAAAGTAATGAGGAAGAGAATGACCAGTGAGAGTGAGAGAGAGATACATATTATAAAATTATAAAAACTTATCTTTAACTTAATAACCACTACGATTTTGACACGTGTAACGGCGTTGAAAGCTTAAGGATCAAGACGGGTTATCATTTATAGATACACTTGAATAACTTCTGTTACGAGTTAATTACAAAATTAAAGCCCAGCTGTCAAAAATTATTGAAGGATTAAAGGGTAATTAATCTTACTTAGACTTTTAATTATGCAGATGATCAATATGTATATAATCACAAGCGTGCTCTTATACCTTTGATTATTCCACACATCAATCAGGATCATGCAGTTAATCTTCTCTAATTCACTTAAATATTATTTTAACTATTCAAGATTAATTAAAGATTATTCAAATGAAGGATAGCGACTTCACTAATCAGAAAACATGTGCAAATATGTAACTTTCAGTGGTAATGTTACTTTATTAATGTCGTCAACTTATTGGAATTGTCGTCAAGAAATTGTATATAAAATGTAAAAAAGAAATTGGTCTCGTATCTCTGCCAATAGTACCTAGAAAGGATATATCTCTTTGATCTATGGAAAAGTATTAATGGAGAACAATATGTTGAACCGACTATATTAATCCCTATCCTTTGGACGCAAATTAAAATTTAAAAAATGATTTGTGAAGTGAAATGTTATGCTCATTTTCTTTTTGTTTTTTTTTTTTTTACATTTTAATAAGGGAGAGCGACATTTTCCCACCCAAGGTTTCAAAGTATCATTTTGAAACTTGAAGGGTAAGAAAGTGTCATTTCGTCAAACCTCGGGTGGGAACATGTCATTCTCCCTTTTAATAATCCAAAAACCCTTTGTGAAACTAACGAAGTAGATACTGATTGAAAAGATACATACCCACCAATTAAAATACGGATAATATTTCAACGTAGGATGTGTCGAAACCCTTCTAACAAAGTAGATACTGATGAAAAGACTTGATACCCACCTTTAAAATTTTGTTGTCTTGTGTCACATATGGATAAGATTTCAAAATAGAATATGTACAGGGAGACAACGACAAATGATGCATGCACCACCTTTGCTTTTACATGATTCTGCAAGCTGCATTAGGATTCTCTTCGCAAAAGTAATCACGTCTATTAACTCTGTAACAACCGCCACCGCCACCGCCACTACCACCCCAGCTATCGTAAACCGGCCTCCCGTAATATCCTCATAACATCTTGGCGGCGCCCACCCCCACACCCCCCCCCCCCCCCCCCCCCCCCCCCCCCCCCCCCCCACCAAAACCCGGTCACCAAATCTCGCTCCAAACATGTTGATATTGACCTATCTTTTGTTCGGAACTTGTTGCTTGAAAGGTTATTAGTCTCGGCCTTTGTCCCCTCACACCTACAGCTGGCTGATGTTTTCACAAAAGCGGTGGCCAAATTGCAGTTTTTATTCGATCGTGGCAAGTTGTGCGTTTTTCCTCTTTCTACCAACGCCAACTTTGAGGGGGGATATTAGAGGACAATCTGATTCCTCTGATTATGACCAAGATATCAGTGATTCTCCACAATTATGACCAAGATATCAGTGATTCTCCACAATTATGACTAAGATATCAGTGATTCTTCACTATTGTAGCGGTTTATTTTCCTTGTATATTTGTTTCCATATTTGTATTTGTACAGCTACATTGTATCTTCTGTCTATAAATGAATATCTCGTCACAGCATATTTGCTGAGGCATTTCCTTTACACACTCCATAATAAACAATAATATATCACTCTTCTTTGTGCTCTGAGGTTCAGATCTGAGCACTCACAGAAATGGCAGAGGTTTGTATTCTTCTCTCTTATATTTCTCATTAAGCATAGTTTATCATTCCTAAACTGTCATCACCATTAAACTGATTTCTTATTTGTACAAATGGTACTTCGAATTTGGAACGAGCACCAAGGAATTAACGAAATCGGCAATCTTTGCAGGTTACGATAATGCTGCTGAAAGTTGACCTCCAGTGCTCAAAGTGTTACAAGAAAGTGAAGAAAATGCTTTGTAAATTTCCAGGTAAGTTTCTCTCCTGTGTTTCTTTCTTTGTGTTTACTTGTGCGTTTGATTCTGAACTTTAGGGACGTGCTATTGGCAGAGATACGAGACCAAGTTTACGACGAGAAGCAAAACACGGTGACGATAAAAGTGGTTACCTGCTGTCCTGATAGATTAATGCAAAAGATATGCTGCAAAGGCGGTAAAGCAGTCAAGAGTATCGAAATCAAGCCAACTGCAAAGCCTAAAGAACCCGAGAAGAAGAAAGAACCAGAGAAGGAAAAGCCCAAGGAGCCTGAGAAGAAGAAAGAACCCGAAAAGGAAAAACCTAAAGAGCCCGAGACACCGACACAAATAAACCCAACTTCATTAGGGCAGAGAATCGAATAAGAAGATCGAAAGGAATCAATATATTTATAAACTATAAATATGGCCGTGTAATGCAAGCTAGCTACCACAAACACAATAACCTGCATGTGCATATTCGACTCCATGTGATGAATTAAAAATTATAAGATTAGCAAGTGGCTTTTGTTAATCACTTATCTCAATAGTTAACGATTAGAGTCATCATGTTTAATATTTAATTCTCTATGGTGAAGCATTGCCAGCCTTCTTCTTCTCTGAAAAGGGGAAAAAAAAAGTTGGTCAACTAGTAAATAAAGATATTGGAAATTAGATACCACTAATTCACATGCATGTTGCATACAATAGACATTAGCTGTTACATTGAAAGGAGACCGTTTGAATTATTATATCAATATGGCATGTTATATTCAAATTTAGGTATAACATTGATTTACTTATAAAAATAAGGTTTTTTCGCATATTATATCTTGCATTGTATAGTTGTTCCATTAGATATAGGTTACATATCTAATATATATTTTTTCTGTTCACCTATCATTGCATAGAAATCTATAAGGTTGTGTTTGGAATGGGGTTTAGGAAGATAACTCTAGTAATCTATATGTGATTACGAATATTCCCTTGTTTGATTGTCAACTAATAAAAGATTTCATTAATTTTCCAATATCATTAGTAATTATTGTAGATGATATAGGGGGTAATCAAATTACTGATTCAGGGGTGTTATTAAAAGATTATTGGGGTAATCCAGATTGTGTTCCCGTTTTACCCTTAATTAATAAACATTTTGATCACAAATGCCCTCATATGTTTACTATATAACAATTAGCCCAACAGTGCGAAATGACTTCTATAACCTCACAAATTAATTTTTTGGATAGAAATGCCCCAAAATACATGTTACCATTTTACCTATAAGTAATTAAATTTTTGGACAATAATGCCCTTATTATGAAAACTATTTACATGAATACCACCCAAAACACCCCAACCACCCAAGATGCCAATTTAATAACATGCCATGTACTTCATCTGTAGTACATTCTAAAAATAATCTAATCTTATTTTTGAGATGCAAGTACGTCAGAAGACGCCAACGAAATTTCATATGAAAGAGGTCTGAAGCTTAAACACTTAAAGCTTAAAGGTGAGTGATCACATTTATATGCAGCCAAATAGTTATACTTTCTTCCTTGATAATTTGGGAAAAGCTGAAATCTTGGAGGAGATGTGTAGAAGAAAAGGGAAGAAGAAAAGAGAAGGAGAAAGAAGAAAATAATAAGAGCGTTTTAGACTTTTCTATTACTATAGATGGAATTCACTAACAAATCTAGACAGAAAGTAGTTGTTTGTCATTTCCAAACTTTTGGGATACCAAATTGTCTTTCCGACAAACTTTGGGTGGGTGTAAGTGGTTCTGCCTGAGTAATTATATATTGATGACATATTAAGTTTGTCCATGTGATATATGGAATAATATAATATGTATTTATGAGAGATCGATATAGAGGAGGAATGAGTTCAAGCAATCTTTTTTCTTCTTTCAGTTAAAAAAAGAAAATTAAATATTGCCTATAAGATAATTTAAACTTGGTTGAATGTTAGTTTCTTAGTGTTGTAAGTGGTGGACTTTCACCGATTTGACACATGGTCGAAGACAGATGAATTATGATTTATTATTAGATAATTAGTATTTATAAGAGGTGGGTTGGTGAGAAAAAGGCTATAAATTGAGCTTATCTCCTTCATTTTATTTCTAAACTCAATTACGAGTGAAAGTTAATAAAAGTTTCTCCTTTCAGGCCTCTTATTCTTCTCTTTTTTTCAGTCTCTATTAGTTTATTTTATTACAATTACACCACTAAGAAGTGAGATTATAACACTTTGAGAATTTTTGAAAATTTTCTCGCCGACATTCGTTTTACTTGCATTTTAAGTCTGAAATGTAGCATATTTATGTGGTGAAATAAGAATTCAATGTTAATATATTGTTACTGTTTACATTTCTACATACTGCAAAATTTTCAATCCCAATTGTTATAACAATGTGGAAATAAGAATTAGTATTTTTTACAAATGTGAACCTCTAACTGACAATGTCTATAAATTTAAATCAACTCATTAATTATTATGTAATGTTGGACTGGTCAAATCAATGATGTCAGCAAACAATTTTTTTTAAAATTACAAATTAGTCCCTTAAATTTTAGTATATTGTAAAAATACCTCTACAAATTTAATTAGTCCCTAAAAGTTTAATATATTTTAAAAAGTGCCCCAAAAATTATAAATTAGTCCCTAGGGTTTAGGTATACTGCAAAAACACTCTTGAAAATTATGAATTATCCCCGATAGGTTTAAAATATAACAAAACCCCCTAGAACCTGAATCGTACCAGAGAGACTACTGTTTCGTAATCCGACTGACTGGTCTAGTCCAGTTTTCAAAACACTATTGATATATCATTTAAAGAGTAATATCACATTATTTTGTATTCATCTCTTTGTAAGAAGATTTTGTAACTGTAAGGTTACTCTTTTTAAAATGTAAATATAGACAAAGAAGAAGTCCTGCTCAGTTGATTTTAGTGTATCAAAACTAATATTGATTTTAGTGTCTTTATCTCCTGTAGTCACAAACTTTATGCAAATACTTTGCTATGTTGGTTCCCGCATCGATCTTGCCGACATTTTCCCAAGCGTTCCTTGCATAGAAAAACAGAAATTTTTTTTTTTTTTTTTCCTGTAGGAAGACAACGGATGAGAAAAAGGAAGCCAATAAAAAATGGCACATTTTACGATATATATATATTCTCGCAAAAGCCAATAAAAAGTTTACAATAGTAGGATTACAATTTTCCACGCAAAAGCCAATAAGAAGTTGCACCGTTTACTATATTAGGTTTACAATATTTCCACGCAAAAGCCAACAAAAACTGTTACAATATAGTGACATTCCTTCTACGAAAATTGATGAAACCTCTATACAAAGAAGAGAAAGACACATGCCCACACCCACAAAGACTTATCTATGAATACTCCACATAATTAACAAACCATCAAGAAAAATAATCAAACTAGACGATTGATCGATGACCATATGCATCGAGCAAGCATTATTTGATTACATAATCGAGCAAGGGGGAGGGTTTTCTTCACAATAATAGTAATAACCACCACGATTCCTGCAATAATAAACCCTGTTGCAACCACAATCACAACCACTACCCCAACTATCACAAACTGGCTTTCCACAATAATCACCATAACATGGAGGTCTCCCACAAGAAAGGTGTTGACATGGCCCCCCTTTCCGCCCCTCGGAGCACTCCCTGCAACACACCCCACACGGGATAGGGTAGCCGTAGGCTGGTGGACAGCCCAGTACCGGTATCTTGGTTGGCGGAGTTTGTGGTAGTTTAATAACAACAACTTCAGTAGGTGGCTCACATGGTTTTGGTTTATCTCCGTCTTTTTGGTTTCCATCACATGGCTTTGGTGCGTCTCCGTCTTTTTGCTTTCCACCACATGGTTTTGGTTTATCTCCGTCTTCTTTCTTTCCATCACATGGTTTTGGTTTATCTTTCCTTCCACTACATGGGTTGGCAGGCGGTTTCTCTTTTTTCTTCTCCTCAGGCGGTTTGATTTCTATACTTTTGATTGACTTACCGCCTTTGCAGCGGATCTTTTGCATTATTTTTTCAGGGCTGCAGCAACACACCACTTTTATCGTAACTGTGTTTTGCTTCTCATCGTAAACTTGATCTTGTATTTCTATATATCAAAGTTCAAGAGAATTAATCAAATCCAATAGCTTACATATTCATGCACAAATATAAACACACACAGACGGAGAGACTCACGGGGGATTTTACAAAGTATTTTCTTAACTTTCTTGTAGCATTTGCTGCAATTTAGGTCAACTTTGATCACCATTTTCGTGCCCTGCGATTATTAATCAGAAAATTTAAATGCTTAAGAAGAAAATTAAATGTCAAGAGAGGAGAGTTAAGGAAGGTGAGATTAGTTTGCAAACCTCCGCCATCTTTGAGAGTGTTGATAAGATCTGAACCTCAAAGCTTAAGGATCAAGACTTGTTATCATTTATATATACACTTGAATAACTTCTGTTATGAGTTAATTACAAAATTAAAGCCCAGATGTCAGGTGACGTTCTCCAACTGACGTAGGCTTATTTACCTCGAAAATGACTTCAAAAATTATTGAAGGATTAAAGGGTAATTAATCTTACTTTAGACTTTTAATTATGCACATGATCAAATATGTTATTATATGTATATAATCACAAGCGTGCTCTTATACCTTTGATTATCCCACACATCAATCACTTAAATATTATTTTAACTATTACATCCTTAATCCATCTTATAGTATAATTTCTGGCTAGCGGTCTTCCCATGCCTTATTCGGAATGAATTCAATTTTATAATTACATAATGATTGTGTGGTAACATAATTTAAGATTATTTATTAACAAAATTTGGCAAAATTGACGCATAAAGATGTAATGATGACCTTACAACCCAATTTAAGATTAATTAAAGATATTCAAATGAAGGATGCGACTTCACTAATCAGAAAACGTGTGCAAATATGTAACTTCCAGTGGTAATGTTACTTTATTATTGGCGTCAACTTATTGGATTGTCACAGAAAGTATATAAAATGTAAAAAAGAAACCTTTCAACCGACTTCACTTCTTTCTGCCTCATCCCCGTCGCACTTTTTTTTTAAGGCGTCCGACCTATTTTATACGTACCTCAATTAATCTTCAAAACTCTAAGATTAAGGGCTGGGTCAACCTCGGGGCTAATGTTACCGGTCGGGTAAAATTCAGTAGTCACCTCTATCAACAATTAAGGTGAATCGAACTCAAAATCTCTGGATAATACCCCAAAGTCACTATTCAACCACTCGGCTACCCAAGGGTGGTTAACACCTCTTTTTTGTCCTAGCTATAGCATGCTTATTAAATCACTAGTAATTTCATGTACATGTGGAGACCATTATAATTGATGTAGAAATCTTACAACAAATGTATAATATCGCTAGCCTCCCACTGTCTAAAATAATACAAACGCATTATTTATTAAATATTGGTAATTTTAGTTTGTATTCCTTAAGCAACATGAGATACCATCCAATTCCACACTCACAATTGCTGTAAATTTATAGCTTTATGGAAATTATTGTGCCTTTACCAATCAATTCAATCCTGATAGCAATCAAACACATCACTTTCTGTAATTTTATGAACCAACCAGACCAAAATAATCAAATCCTTATCTTCCTTTCCACATGATGAGAACAAGTTGTGTCTGGTTCAGTTTTTCGATAATTGTATTTACTTTTAAAATAGTTTTCTTCTAATTCAATATATTGATTATCGTAAATTTTAATTAGGAAAGACAATCTATATAACCGTTATTACCTATACATATATAAAATTATATATATTAATATATATTATATAATATATATTATAATATTATATATTATATATATATATAATAGAGTAAAACCTTTATAGTCATAATGTTGGACTAACTAAATTTATAATATGAGGAGTTATAACTTATAGAGTATATTACAAGATTAAAAATTATTGTTTTGATTTCTTATTTTATAATTCATGTTTTAGTAGTATTAGAATTTCAATTCATTGTTTCAGTAGTTTAGATAGTATGAAAGGAATATCAAAAGAGTCGTCACAAAATTGATGTGATCAATACAAAACTTCACTATACTATCAAATGGCTTTAATATCTTTATTAATTATCCAAATAAGCAACATATCGTGTATACTTTAACTGAAGGAAAGAAACAATCCTGAGGATGATATATTACGGAAATACCAAATTTTGGTGCTAAGAAGCTCCAAACATGTATTAGAAATATTTTGAATTCAACAAGAGGTGTCCATTGTTGACAACTTATTACTACTCACAGATAAAGATATGTAACAACTCAAAGATAAATAAATTATTGTCTCAAACAACTTTAGATAAATTGTTATTTCTCTTAAACATTTAATGTAACATAACATATATTTTTTTATAATATACATTAATAATTTTATAATGAGACAAGTTCCTTCGGAACTTAAAAAAACTATAATTTATTATAATGATAATTTATTCTCTTTATGCTACTCGTTGTCAGATTTGAAATCAAATTTTTTTTAATGAATACTAAATTTATTCTATATATAATAAGTACTATTTATACTACCGTCACTAAAGGAATACAAAGGAAAATTTTAGAAAGGAGGCAATCATCATTATTGAGTCTGAACCTCGCCTGAATCATTATTGAGTTGAGTTTGATTAGTTAAAGTAACGAGGAAGAGAATGACCAGACGGTGAGAGAGGAACACACACAAATAAAATTATATAAACTTTCTTAAATCTTAAGAAAGCGTACGAGTGACCAACATCAAACCATACTGCGATTTTGCACTGTAACGGATGTTGAATGCTATCATCAAGTATTGTACCTTTTGCTCTGAATGATTGAAGCAGCCCCTTTTAATAAAATATAATATTGTAATGAGCATGCGACCACCAACAATAATACATGGCTTAAACAACAACAGCCACTTCTCGTCGTAAACAACTTTTCATATATCAAAGTTCAAGAGAAAAATCAAACCAATAGCTTACATATCATGCACAAATACACACACGAGAGACTCACGTTGGATTACACAGTATTTTCTTGACTTCGAGCATTTGCTGCATTTCTGGTCAACTTTGACCACCATTATCGTAGCCTCAGGGTGCCTAGGGCTCCCCAAAAAAAGATAAAAAAAGAATCAAATTTTTATATATATTATAAAATAAAAATGTGTATAATTTCTTATTAGCTGATCTAACGGGTTCAAAAAAAAAATCAAATATTATTACCTAAAATTTTACTATATACTATAAATACTAACAACTAAAGTTTTTACGAAATAACAAGTTTTAATCTCAGATATTTATTCAGTGACCTACTATTACATGAATTGCATTCTTACAGAAGGCGAAATGGCATTTGTATGTCTCAATGTACTCACCCCCAACAACCCAAAATTCAACAACATAAACACCGACTCTCTTCCACTGCCCATCGTTTGGACTGAATCGGGCCGTCCACAAAATCCACCGAATCATCTTTTATCAATTCCCAAAGTGTTTCCACCTTGAGCCCTTGATTTACTTATTTTTACGAACTCGCAACCTAGCTCCACCACACACATAGCCATTCCACTTTTCAGCATGCCTAGCATCGCGCCTCTCGCACCACTATCTTCCTCCTTCAGCCCTCTCACCAAACTCTATCATACCTCATTCGTTCATCCGCCAATCGCTGGCCACTGATCCATTTTGGACCACAACTTCTCAGTCTTTTCAGTTCAATCCTGCGCTTGGAAATCACCCATTTCACCACCCATTGCTTCTCCACATCTCGCTCTCAAAACCCCCCACCAACCAACCCCATTAGCCCACTGATCGTCATCCTCTCTCCTAGTGATTTGCATCTTCAAAGGCAAGAAAATAAATTTGAAAAATTTTTTTAAGATATGCTTATATTATTGAAAGCCTACAAAGTAACTATTGTCTAAGGATCCAATTTTTCTTGGACAGCCCTGCGTAGCCTATGATATCAACAGAAATTTAAATAATTAAGAAAGAAAATTAAGGGCAACAAGGAGAGTTGGGAAGGTGAGATTAATTGCAAACCTCCGCCTCTTGAGAGTGTTGATAGAATTGAACTCAAAGCATAATGATCAAGACTGGTTATTAGTTTATATAACTTACAAAGATTTTAATTTCCTTGATGTTCTTATATTATTAGTATTAGTGAATTTGTAACATTAAATCGTCATACTAATGGCATCCGACACATATAAATCAATTTTGTTACTAAATTCCTTTTGAGATCCCCACCTGCCAATTCTCATTCCAATATATAAACGCATTATTTGTCTTTCTCAAGAATTTTTTGAAATTTAAATGATCGAAATTATTTTTCCGAAATAATCGAATTTTTTATGTGTACATACTCTATATAGAGGATAATTTTTCGGCAATTACGTTCTAATAGTTCTTTTTTATTTTTTCCTGTAAATTATGTAATTAGGCTTATGTGACACAAACGATACTTGATGACAACTCTAATAGTAAGAGAAGCCGTATACTACTGAGCACAGCTTCAATTGCCGACACAATGTCAATTTCGAGAAGAAAGAAACAGCAGAAATGACAATAATGGCACTGCAAGATGCCATTAACACAAGGATCGGAGAGTGGGGTGCTAAGGGACTCAGTGGTGGCCAAAGAGAGAGTTAGCATTTAAATTGAGATTTTAACCGTCCCAAGCTTCTTTTTCTTGATGACACAACCATGTGACTCGACAGTGCAGTTCATATATGTTATGAGTAGATTGCGAAACTTGATCAAAGAGATGGAGTTGGAAGAACCATTATAGCTTCTATATACTAGCCTAGAACTGAAGTTTTCAGCTTTTCCATAATCTTTGCCTTCTGTCTTCGGCTAGAACAGTGTATTTTGGTCTTGCTTCAATGGCAAATGAGGTTTATATTAAGAGCTTAATTGGATGTTCTTTCTCTTCAACTTTCATTGAGCTAACTATATTTCTCACTTTCAATTTCGATGTAGTTTTTTGCTTAAATGGTTTCCCTTGCCCAACGCTCCAAAATCCATCTGACCATTTTTTGAAAACCATTAACCAGGATTTCCAAAAGGTAGGGTATTTTTCTTGTCACTCTATTATTACGTCAGTAAAATTACTAATCGGAACGTTTAATATAAAAGTTTCATACTAATACCGATAATTTTACAGGTCTTGATTATTTAGCAATGGGTTAGATTTGAAATGAAGTTACTTTGTTTGTGAGCCTCGGTTTCTATATAGTTTCACTATCAACGGATTTGTAAGAAGGTTTAGATGATGGAATATTACCCACAGAAGAAGCAATTGATCATATTCTTATAAGTCTTATAAACCATCTGTAGTTATGAGCAAGTTCGATGC